GAGCATGTCCAGGTGCATCGTGCACCTCATTGAGTACGTGTTACCTGCACCCACCTCCTCTGCCCGCTGCTCCACACCACACTACACAGTCGCCCATTGCCTATCCCACGCGCGCAACCCTTTGCACATAACCGCATACAGCACCTTTTTGCTCATCGCACCATGGATAGACGTGGAGGTCAGTAGGGCACTGTGGCTGGAGGGACCGACAGCTAACTTTTGTCTTTGTCTAGGCCGCGGTGGAGGAAAAGGTACACACGACTTGTGGCCCATGTTGCCATTGCGTATAGGCTGCGCGACACCATAGCATACATACTAATGCGCCTGCAGTCCTCCTCCCCCCAATCAACTTTATCTTCAAGCTCTTACAATCGCGGGCGACCATCTCAGTATGGCTGTACGAGAACCTTGGCCTGCGCATCGAAGGAAAGCTGAGGGTACGCCTAAGCTCACATGTGTTTTACTCTACATGCCACACAGCGACTGACAAGCTGTACAGGGATTCGACGAGTTCATGAACCTAGTCATCGATGACGCCGTCGAGGTGACGCTTGCAAAGAAGGATGCGCCCGAGGAAAGGCGCAAAGTTGGTCAGATCTTGCTCAAGGGCGACAACATCTCCCTCATCCAGCAACTGTCGTAGGCACCCGTTGGTGCTCTCCACTTTCACTCTCACACTCACGCGGCCAACACGATACGAGCGCATGTTTCTGGGGTAGGACAACTAGCTCAGGGCGTCATGGAAAAATGATAGAGCAAAGCCATGTAATTTACTAGCAAGAATTGGATAATGACGCATCAGGCTTGTGCGCGGCGAAGCTCGCCGTCGCCGGTGATCAGCGCATCAAGACGATAATCTGAAGACGTCATGGGTACCAACTCGTCTGGAGGAAGGAACTGCTCGGTCAACGAGAGGCCAACTGTGACGTGGTCAGTTAGCCCTTCCACATACAAAATAGCAGTCCTTCTCACCGCGAAAAGGCATGCGCGAAGCTTGGTGACATCGCGCCAGAAAGTAATCGTAGAAGCCCTTGCCATGTCCGAGCCGCCCGAAGCTCGAGTCGAAAGCCATGCCAGGCATGACTATCAAGTCCAGGCCCATCTCTTGATCGCTATCCAAACGAGACTGCCCATCCGTGATGCCCTCTCCACCAAAGCAATTTGCACGTGCTGATATTGAGTCAGTGCTGGGTGTGGGGATCCCCCAACCATCTGGCTGTAGAGAGGCAAAGTCGTTGATGGAGTGCAACTCAAGCATGTCCATGATGGACTTGGGCTGTGCTTCTGCAGGCTCGCTCAGCTTGTACGTGTAGGGGATGAAGACCCTCTTGCCCCGAGCCAGAGCATCTCGAACAATACTAGACGTGTTGATCTCGCCTGCGGGCATGGACAGATAGACGCTTATCCGCCGCGCGGCTTGATACTCGGGCAAGGCCAGAAGCGTCTCCGTGGCCTTGCGTGCTAAGGGGGCATCAGCCTTGGCGTCAGCGTCCATGGGAGATGGCCGTCTGACGTACTTTGCGATGCGGCGGCATCATGGGAAACTTTGTTCACAATGTGCCTACTCTTTTTCCTAAGCTCTTTTTTGGCCTGTGCTAGTGATGCCGCCATGACCATGTTCCCTTCAGCCTGCCTAACGGTATTCCTGAACTGGTCCGTGGGATGGTTGTCACTAGCCTATTTCGCGGCTGACTTTTGTTGTCGAGGTGAATTGAATGACGTGCTCTACGTAACGAACGGTGCACGGCGCGAGTTTGGTCAGCGTTTACAACAGGACCAAAAACTAGCTGTCGATGGCACTCGGAAAAGTAAGTTGCACAACTGGTACCTGAGTCACTCGGAGGACGACTTGGCATGTCGAGCACAAGATGAAGGACATCTGGAGCATGTGCTGCCGCGTCGGAGTTGGGCTTGATCTGCCACTAGCCGCAGCCGCAGCGATCCCTGCGCATTCCAAAGCAAGCAACATCCATTTGTCGCCGCCTCCTTGTCGCCGCCTTTGCACTTGCAACTTCACTCACCCTCACCCTCTTACATACACATACACACACGCCAACCCCTCTCCACTTTCCCTTCACACATCCTCCAACCGCACGGCGCATCCATCGCATCCACACGCCAACTTCCCTCTTGCACATCCACGGCCATCAACCGGACTCTGCTACCCGTCCGTCACTCGCCCACCGACGCCGCCGCCATGGTTTCGACATGGACAGCGCTGTTGCTTTCCGGAATCGCAGCCCTGCAGGTACAAGCGCAAACAGTGCCCACCCCCACCGATCTTGTGGGTACGTGGAACAGCAAGGCGAACTCGACATCGACCGGCCCTGTAAGGATCCGTTCAAGATGGTGCTATGAAGCAGTTTCTAACCACGGCTCTCCCTAGGACTTCTACAACCCCGTCGAGGAGAGGTTCACAGAACCAAAGCATCCAGGAATCAGCTACTCTTTTTCCGCAGACGGCCACTTTGAGGAGGCATACTACCGAGCCATTGCGAACCGTATGTTCTAGCCAACCTTCCTTGTTCCTGAGATAGGCTACTCTGACTGCAATCTCGTGTGCGACCCTTCCACAGATATGTCGAAGCTAACTCCACCCAGCACAAAACCCAAAGTGTCCCAAAGGCATAATACAATGGCAGCACGGCTCCTTCGAGAAACTCGCGAACGGCTCTCTAGTCCTATCTCCGATCAAAGTGGACGGCCGACAACTCTTCTCTGACCCATGTTCATTCAAGAACGCAATCTACACACGCTACAACGCGAGCGAGCTATTCGAGGTACTATTCCTTCCTCGTGCTCACGCAAAGATCAGTTCGCTAATGAATCATCAGCGCTACGAAGTACTCACAGACCCTTACCACAAGATCCCTCGCCTGAACCTCTACAAGTTCGACGGCTCACCCATCATGCCTCTCTACCTCGCCCAGTCGCCCCCCAAAATGCTCCCGACAACCACCCTCAACCCGCTCACCACTGCAACCTCGAAGCCCGGCAAAGTCAAGCGCGGAGAGCTGCCCAGCCCCCAAGACGTGCTCTTCAAGAGATCAACAACCGGAGCATACCGCGCCGACAATTGGTGGTGGTTTGGCGTCCTCATGACCGCAAGTGGTAGCATACTGTACTTGTTCTTCTGAGCGCGAGGACGTACACGAGCATAATCGTTGAGTGGGGATTTTGTTGAGGAAACAAAGACCACGGCAAGGCAGCACACACCAGACGAAACCATTGGGAGGCGTAATTGGAGTTTTTTTCCCTTGGGTGCAACAATACCTATACACGCGCAACCTTGTAACGGCCAACATGTGGGCATCATCATCATACGCGATTCTTGATTTGCTTGGGGGTTTTCCCCCCAACCCAATAGTAAGGCGTTTTGTTGAATTTACAGGGGGTACGCATGCATGCACGAGAGTTTCTCTTAATGATATCCAAAGACTTCTTTGAGTTTTTTTTTTCTTGAGTGGAAACGAGAAACTGGCCAGCAGCGAAAGAGGTTTCCTTGGATTGGATTTCTTGGCAAACTAGATGGATGTTTTTTTGCAGTATTTGTAGTGAAGAAAATACAACGTAGTTATCAGATTGGGATTTTTGGAATCTTGGAAACTATGTCTTTGTCTCTTTTTTAGGGCTCTTCTACTTTTTCGTTTTTCATTTCTTATGCATAGACACACTCACACTAGTCTCACCCAATCACTCATTCTACCCATCGTCTTACAACGTACATTCCTCCCCCTTCAATCCAAACCCCAAACCACCTCCCTCCCCAACCCCTCACCATGTCATCAAAATAAACATCTCACCCGCGCCCCGACCACCCCTTCCCCATCCATCCAAACCCTACCCAACGCTTATCCCCGCGCACACACCCCAACACAGCCCCGCCCAAATTCTCCCAACCCAATGCTTGAACTAGTTTAACATTACGATTGTACATGAACACACGGTATATGGTATTTATGTACACATGTCTACAGTACCGCATCCTCATCGGTGAAGGTTTTTAGTATAAGGTTTGGGGATACGGGTGCACGGGTGCGGTGTGGTGCGGGCCGTCTTTTTGGTTTAAAGGGGGGAGGGAGAGGGTGCTTTTTACGTCGAGGGATTGAGATTGGGATTAGGATTGGGATTGGTGGGGTGGGGATGGGAGGGTGTGAGGAGGGATTGGTGAGAGGGTTGCGCTGCTGTGGGTATGGGGATATTGTGCGCGTGTGGGCCGTAGGACGGAGTGATCGATGGTTTTGTTCGTTTTTTTTTGAGAAGAAGAAACTGTGGGTATGGTGATGATGGTAAAGGGCACATGTGAAGAAGAAGGGAGACGGGTTGCGGAAAAGGGGAGGTGTACGGTATACGTGTGATGAAGATGTGTTGGACAGGTGTGTTGGACAGGTGCATAACTGCAGCGTGTAGTTTTTTTCAACTTGACTGTAGCGTGTGGTTTTTGACCTGATAACTACACCTACATATACCTTTCAATCCACGCTCTTCAAAACTCACCATCGTCCTCTGTCTCTCCTACCATATATCGCGTCGTCAAATCGCTGCGTCGGTATCCAGCAAATATTTCTTCTGGGAAAACGATGTATCGCGTTCAAGAAGACTGTGTCTTTTGTCTTGGTCAAGCAACTCAGGGGATAGCTTAGTTTCTGTTGAGGTATCAGGAGTTTTCCTCTGCTTGGTGGGCCGTAAAAGTCGTGTACTGTAGGTATAGTGGATGTAATTTGTGTGTTGTGTGTGTGTGTGTAACGGGGTATTAGCTTCGTTGAATCGGCCTATCGAGGGATTGTTCCGGATTCTTTTTTTGCTGAAGTGTCTTAATAATGCTTCAGATTAGTATGTTGCAGTGTGTTGTTTGAGTTCCGATTGTCGCTTGTCATATAGCTTTCGTCGAAAGGGACCTTGAAGTGGGGGGGTTCTTTTTTCCACCTCAACACTCAATTCTCCAAAGGTTTTGTATGGAAAGTTCTTCTCTGCTGTCGATCTTGGCTGGCTTTTCAGTCGTAACACAGGGATCATGCTGAAAAAAGTCCCCGGACTAGTGTGCTTTGCATGGCACTCTGTCGTTTCCTCGGCTCCATCATCATCATGGTGTGCCTATAACCCGAATCTTTCCATCCCAGCTCGTAATTCTTCTTCGGTTCCCAACAGGTTCAGTGCCCAAGGTGACACTCTACTCTTCACGACGAATCTGTTGTCTCCACCACTCGATCCTTTCACACCACCTGGGCTCTGTCCCTCCAAATCTTGTACCTCCTCATCTACCCTAGCTCCCTTCCCGTAGTCATCTTTTTCTTTACTCCTCCAATTTGCCACTGTCGCAATCTCTTCCAGCACTAATGGACCTTCTTCTCCTGGCCTTCTTGTCCGCCTCTTATATGGCGGTCCTCTCCCCATGCTTGCCGCCTTTTCCCAAGCTGTCTCACATCCTCTTGCTATAATACCTGAAGAGGCCCATCCAGTGCGACGATCGATTTCCAGAAGTCGTGTAACCAACCACTCCCGGTGGATTGGGTCCTGGAATTGCACTCCCGCGAAGAATAGTGACATGGTTGATTCGGTCAACACGGCACCCAGAAATGGTGTTAGATCTTCACCAAGAGGAATCTGCATCCCAGCTGTTATGCGTCCGATGAGCATGGCGTACGGCTGTGTAGCCGGGGCGCACACACCAGCTGCCATTTGTGCTGCAGGAGGCATGGCAGGATGGGAGCGTAGTAAAACAATCTTGGCAAGATGGAGCAGTGTCCAAAGGATACTAATATCGTAGCTGCGGTGTATGAGCGCAGGCCCAAACGGTGTCAGGTTGCCAGAACTGTTATCGCCTGGTACGGGTGGATAGGATTCTGCCGGCAAGGGGGCAAAAGAGTCTGTACTGGCAAGAAGTTGGGCAACAGTTGTGTGCGCAGCAGAAATGGCATTCCATTCTTTCATTGCCTGCTCATATGCAGCTGGGAGATCGCTGAACTTGGGATGAGGTGCATGAGATGTTGGTGGTGATCTTTTGTAATTTGGATTCTCGTAACTGGGAGGTAGTGGCGCAGGAGGTTGGGCTGGAGCCATGCCATAGAAATTCGGCATGCCAGGTGGTGGACCACTTGGAGCTCTCTGAGTTTGACCACCGGACGGAGGGGGTCCGGAAGGCCCTCCTTGTGGGGGACCAAATCCCGGTGGAGGCGGGCCAGTCCATCCGGGGGGTGGATCGTTCTGTGGTGAAGAGGCCATGGGCTTAGTAGGTGTAGGTTGCTGTCCTTTCTGGCCTTGTCCAGCCGAAGGTGGCGGGCCCATTTCGCCAAAGCCAGGCATATCGGGTCTCGGTCTCCATCCCCCATCACGGTCTACTTGTCGAAGTTTGCGTTCTCGGTCTCGAACAGTGAAGTCAGCGATGCGACCTAACAATAGTATAACG